AATCCAACACCAGATGAGCTCTTGTATCCCACATTTGTTGTTTTCCCTTCCCAACCAGGTTCCTATTTTTAAATCTGGGATATAAGCTCATTGTGCGTTGTGTGTGATGTTTGATGTGACTGCTCTCCAAAGACTCTTGTGTCCGTCATAGTGTTCAGTGTCTGACTGGCCTCTGGGGGGGCGCTGTTCTTTTCTGCTCTAGGTCTTGTATAAGGACCTTTCTGTGAAGGGAACGCCTGTGGTGTTCACACCAGAGATGGAGAGGGTCAAACGGAACCAATTGCAGATTAGCTCGGTACTCACAGCCACAGGACATGAGTGTGTGTGTGTGTGTGTAAATGTAACCACTCTAATACCTTCATTTCACTTAGGAGGCTAATAATATTAACTGTACTCTTCCATATGCTGAATTTAATTCTGTAACTGATCATCATCACTACAAACCTTCATCTCAGGACCCATCTACCTTTAATCCAGCCCTCTGAAGATCCCTCTAATTCATCTGTCTGAAATCACAATAACACCTTGGGTTGTGTTGATGGATGTTATCTTCATGTCTTTTGTCTGTCCAATGTCCTGATTTCCTGGCATGTCTTCCACAGGGTCTTGACACATAATCATAATCCAGAATGATATGGTTTCTAATATATGTATGTGTTGTGATGTCTTTTGTCCAGGTTCTGTACTCGGACAGCTTCCGTAAGCAGGTGCAGGGTAAGGCCGCATTTGTGCTGGACACCCCTGAGATGAGACGTGTTAAAGAAACTCAGCGTATCATCTCTGGAGTAAGATGACTTTTAAATCTTGACCTTTAGCAGTATATTGCAAGGAAATTATTTTTCTGTATTTTATGAAGGTCAACCTGTTGCATTCAAAAATGTTTGGGAGTTGAATGTTACCAGGTTAAGGATTGGGGCCAAAAATTGCACAATGCAATATTATCTGTCAGTAGTCTTGAGAACAAAAATTCAAAGAACAGAATTTTTAAGTTAAAAAACCCCATCGGAAGTGTCATAAAATTAATATTCATAATCAGTTTATCAGTATGGATTTAATTTATAGTATGAGTTCAATGCTGTGCATCAAAAGACTGGAAAACACTACTCTACTTTTAAATTCTGAACAGATTTTACAACACTTTGCACTCACTCAGAAACATGCGCCTCATTGCTAGGAGACTAATGACAAATGAAAACAATATATAAAAATATCAAACATGTTTAATGTCCCCCAACTGGATAAAATCATAGTCTAAGTCTGTGCCCATCATACACAATGCGATTTTCTGTGAAATCTGACAGCCCTGAATTCTGCAGACTGGCTCCTTCAGACGGCAAATCGGGATAAAAGTCTTAAAGTCACCATGAAATCAAACTTGACTATTTTAATTTTTTTATGGAATATTGCAGAGCCTATTATAAATTATTTATCTGTACACATAATTTTTTTAAACTCGTGTGCTCTCTAATCTTTAATCCAAAACATCAGCTTCTTCTTGCCTTAGTAACGACATCTCTTCTCTGGTGACGGGACAATAACCTGTCCTCTCCAGCACCCTGTCACACACACAAGATCATAGCCAATTCCCAATGCACAAAATCCATTTTATTTCACTTGGATAAATGTCCAAAAGGGAAGACAATCTCAACTTCCATTTCGTGTCCAATTTGAACCTATTAAAAGCGTAACAGTTTCTTTGTCTCCTGCCTCATGTTTTGCTGTCTGTTGTTCTTCTCAGGTCAGATACCACCAGGACTTTGAGAAGAGCAAGGGCAGCTTCACCCCCACCATCTCTGACCCCGTCACTGAGCGCGTGAAGAGGAACACTCAGGACTTCAGTGACATCAGCTACCGCGGCATCCAGAGACGTGTGGTGGAGATGGAGAGGAGACGTGCAGAGGAGCACGATCAGGAGACCACCACTGGTCAGCTGACACATACTGTGTCCTGTACACACTAAACACACTTCCTATAAATATAGAAAAACATGACGCTTGTGATATGTAAAGAATGATATACAGATCATACACCGGAACCAAGTGAGTTTTGAATAGAAACGTTCAATAAAACTGGGTTTCCTTTTTCTCAAAGACCTGCGTGTGTGGCGCACAAACCCCGGCTCTGTCTTTGACTATGACCCTGCTGAGGACAACATACAGTCCAGAAGTCTTCACATGATGTCAGGTAGGCCACTCCTCTGCTGTCACTGGACTTAAAAGGCCTTATTAGAACAGTTCTCTGGCTGACTGTATACTGTGAATGTATACTTATCTGCCACCTTCCTTGATTGAAGACAGTCTGTCAAAGAGGATGTAACGTTGACATGTTTGTCCCATTGTTCAGTCCAAGCCCAGCGCCGCAGTAAGGAGCACTCCCGCTCCACCAGCGCAATGAGTGGTGTGGGCGATGAGAAGTCAGAGATGTCTGAGAATGTGGACCACCATGCATCCCTCTACAGCAATGGCTTTGGTGTCTCTGCGTTACACGGTACATGTTTAAAGTGCTTGGTTTGTCTTCACCCTAGGTTTAGCTTGATAGTTGGCCATTTATTTTCTGAATGCGTCAATGACCTTTTTGTAAATTATTCATCCATGTGTTTCATTTTTAAAACTTTTTTTTTTAAATTTTTAATTCAAATGTTGTTACTGGATCTTTCAGTGAAACGCTAGACTCTCTGGTGACATATGCTAGACTTTATCAGTTATTAGATCCACTTAAACTCCACCCCTTTTATGCAAGCTTGCATTCATTACTGAGTGAAATGCCCACATCTTAAAATCTAATCAACATCCGATGGGTAGAACCAAGTCCACATCCTACATTTTTTAAATTAATTTCATTCAGATGTCGCAATATGGAAGAGAAAGAATCTGTCAGTACTTCAGTTTCATCGCAGCATTAAAGATGGACAAAAATAGATTAACAAATATTGAATAATTCAGCTTGTTTTATATATATATATATAAATAAGTGGAATGTAAATCTGTTAATCTGTATTACGAATAATGACCAGAAACTGCTTATAGGAAGTTAAAAAGGGCAAAATCTGAATGCGAACTAGTGCCAGAGAAATATGTAACTTTAAATCTGTGCTGTTGTGTCATATAGGTTACTCACAGACCAAGACTATTGAGGTTCAGCAGAGATCCTCCTCTGTGGCAACACAACAGACCACTGTTTCTTCTGTCCCCTCGCATCCTTCAACCACTGGAGTAAGTACTGAGACCACTGCCAATTTCAATATCATAGTAGTATAATATGCTATTATCATATGTGTATGCATGTGCTCGACATACAATATCTTAGTCCAAATAGTAACGGCATATTCCCTGTTTATTTGATGGTTTAATATAGTTTTCTTTGTCTTCAACAGAAAACCGTCCGTGCCATGTATGACTACTCTGCTGCAGACAATGATGAGGTGTCCTTCAAGGACGGTGACGTCATTGTGAACGTGCAGGCCATCGATGAGGGTTGGATGTATGGCACTGTGCAGCGTACTGGAAAGACCGGTATGCTGCCCGCCAACTATGTGGAAGCCATCTGAATACAACTACTGTTCTCTCAAACACCCTGTGGATGAGGGCGTTTGATATCCACTCAAGACGGGAAAAACTATTTAATGTGTACTAATTTTAGTCAAAGTAGTTATGCTGCTGTTTGTCCTCATTACTATTACTACATGTGCCCATGTCACAAAGTCTATTGTGGTTGTGGCATGAGAAACTGACAAATTATACATGCCGATTTAAGTCACAGACAATTGTATTTATCTTTGTTGTTCTATTCTAGCAGTTAAGTAACCATTATTTTTGTATATTGCAATAACACTCCATTCAGAGAAGTTTTAATGTTGAAACATTTGCAGAACGAGATGGGCTCATGGTTCACTATACGTGAAAAGGAAAACCAGAAATTCAGTGTTTTATAAAAACTGAACAGAGGCACTAAGGTTGCCACATGAAAATGAAAAAGGAAAAAGAAAAAAAAAACTTGAATGTCGAGAACCACCAGTTCCTCTAAAGTGAAAATGCCTTTGTTAAAAACAAGCCTCCTCCCTCCACCTTTGCTGAAGGCTGGCCATTATTTGCATGTTTTGTTTCTTTGATTCTGTAGGTGTGGGGTTTGAGGAAGATGTATAGCTTGAATCAGTAGCTAATAAAGCACACCACGCTTCTGCAGTCAATCTGTTTTGTCATGGATTTGAAGTTTGTTTTCTTAATTGATCAATAAAAGGTTGAAGTTTCTTAATGAGACAATTCACCCAAAAATGAAAATTGTGTTGTTTACTCACCCTCATGTCATTCCAAACCTCTGACTTTCATCTTTCAAACAAAATCATTTTTATCTGTCCATTGAGTCACCTTGACCAAAAATGCCAGACTTAAGGAAATCTAAAAATACAATAAACATTTAGGCTTCCGTTTATCATATCTGAAACACTGTGCGCATCGATTTGTCGCTTGCTTATATATATGAATAAAAGCTTGAATTAAATATTTATCACAAAGCGATCATGTCTCTTCAGAAGACTTTTTAAACAACTCAATTCATGTGGATTACTTTTACAATGCCTTTTTGCATTTTTTTTTAAACAATTTTTTTAATTTTAATAAATACAATTTAAATTTCGCACACTTTAATGCCCTTTGAATGGAAAATTTACACTCCCTTCGAACTGGAATCATGGTGGACTATCCTGTGATGTCCACTTCGCAGGGCACTTAGAGTTGAATAGAACAAATGTTTGAAGTGGTAAGAGAAACATACAAAATGTGCAGAGCGGTGGTAAGTGAGGACGAATTGAGAACCACTGAACTAATACATTTAATGTTAACAAATGTTAATAAAACCTTAAAAACATTGTAAAGTGTTAATCTTTTGCAGCAATAAAAAAGCCATCTTTGTATTTGTAATTTGGTGGTTTGTTGTTTGGGGCTTTTTTTTTTTTTTCAATGGATCTTTGAAAAAAGAAAACGGGGATAAATGAAATTATTAATACTATAACTTTATTTAAAAAAAAGTTTCCTTGGCATCTCAGCACAATTTTACAGTCTTAAAAAGCCCTCCATAAAATACACTGACACTTAAGTAGCAATGGAAAGTCTATTCTCTGAAAGAGCATAATTAGAAATTCATCTACTCTAAAATTCAAGCTAAAACTTGAGAAATGAGCAGTCCACTGTTTATCTTCAAGTTAAAAGTGAATTCTGATATCAGGAAAATGTCTCGATGTCCTCATGGCAAGCTATCATCAAGATTACTCCGCAAGCGGGACTGCATATGGGTCACAATGCTTCTCATCATTCCACTCAGATGTTCGTGCATCAGGCCCAGCTGGTTGGGTGAACAGCGATCAAGTTCCTCTGAAGTTAGGCATCCACTAAGGGCTACAACATCTGATAGCAAATCACAAGATTTGTTCTCCTCAGCCATCAGTTCTGAATCTACACTCACCTCTGATGGCTTGTCATCTGCAAAAAGTTGGGAGTCACGAGTTATGCTGAATGTGTCACCAATGATGGATTTGACAAGAAAAAAAAATAGCTTACCTTGAGCCTCTCCTGGTGTTTGCTCCTCATCTTGGTTTTGATGAAGCTCCATTTCCTCAGGCTCAGATGTCATTTTCTCCATTTCGTCAAAACTCTTCAGGTCATCCGAACGCCCTTTTCTCTGTATGGCCAAATGCGAAGTGTAAGAATGATCTCCCATAATAAAGGCGAAGATACTAATGTAAAGACGATGAACAATACCTGTTGGTCATGATAGGTTTTAAGTGCTTTCCTCACATTGGACAGCTTAGGTGAACGAATAGGAAGAGACTTGACTTCACTTGGGGTAAGGGCACTCAGGTCTCCAACCGTTTTAATGTTTCTAGCTCTAACGAGCTGACCAAAGCCACGAGGCCTAAATACACAACGGAATAAAAACGCATACCAATTAATTACATTCTTAACATTAACACCCCAGAAAACAACCTTCAGATCTGTGTTGAAATCAATTTATGAGAAGAAATAACTTGTACGGTTTGGGTGAAGAAGAAATGGTATGTGTGTGCTACCTTTGACAGATCTCAGCTGCACCATTCAATCAATACTTAAATGTATTTGGAGTTCACAAGGTCAGAACATTTTTAGAGGATTTAAATTAAAACGGAGGAATGAATTTAATGAACTGAACCCAAGCTGTACTGCAGGGGAAATGGGTGATCTGGCTTACCACATGTTGGAGGATATCTGTGGTAACACAGCCTCTATAGGGGTAGAGCAGCCAACGAGTGCTGGATAAACACAATCTTTAGCAATAGGACGTGGCTCCTGGCTCATTTCGGAAATCTAGGATGTATAAAGAGGAACATTTTAACACCATTTCCACTTGGAGCTACTGTTCAAATAAACTAAAGTCTGATGAAACTGAATAACATGAACAGTATTAAACAATAACAACTTTAGCAGTCTTAAAGCAGCACTATGTAACTTTTTCTCTGTTCAAAATTTGCTAAATGTATATAATGAGCAAGTACATGAATTCATCTTCCAAACCGCGTTTTTGTCTTATTATAAGTGTACCGTAGTGATTCGGAATAAGTACTTATATTTGGACTATTGTAGCCTGGTCGGGTCGTCACCACTGTTGAGTAACACATACCTGCGTGAATCGCCATAGACAAACTTATGGCGCTTTTCCACTGCGTGGTATGACTCGGCGCAGCATGGCGCGGTTTGCGTTTCCACTGCAGTTTAGTATCGCTTGTGAATAATCCCGCCCATTCTAATGTCATTATAGTTGCGCTGCCTATACTGCTGCGACTCCTGGAAAAAATTTTTCATTCTACGTCGCCCCATCAAGCTCTCGCTGGATCCGCTCCTCTGCTATCAATGAGAGGAACATCTGTACTTCCTCAACAGACCACGAAAGCACCACTTTTTGGTTGCTAAAAAAAGGTGCGCTTGTTCAAAACGGTTGCGTTCGATCCTTCACTGGCTATGCTGATTTAAATCTAGCGGTTCTGTTGTGTTTGTGTCACAAGTTCAGTGACGCAGGTAGTGACGATTCTCTCCGGCCAATCCGTGATCAGCAGAGTTTACACATCACGTTTTGGTAAAGGTACGGTTCGCTTGGAACCTCAACTGAGGTGGTACTAAAAAAAAAAGTACCAGGTACTGTACCCAGTGGAAAATCCCCCAAAAGTGAACCATACCGTGCCATACCATGCAATGGAAAAGTGCCATTAGAGAAGTAGCTCTGGTTGGAATGTTCTTGTGTGCAGTTCTGTTTATTAACCTCTAGAGCACCAAAAGTTACATAGTGCTGCTTTAATTTCTCAGAATTAAGAAAATAAAAAATCTTTATGAACTTATGAAACATTATTAATAGGCAGACTGCATGAGTAATATAAACAGGATTTTTTTTTTTTGCAATTTAACTACAAGGCAAGAAAATAATTACCAGGCATTTTTTAGAGCTTTTGGATCCAGGACTACGGAGGTTACGTGGACTTAGACTTGAATAGCCTTTTGTGGGTGTAGTGATATACTGTAATGAAATTTAACAATAACCCATGAAAAGTTGAAATTCACAGTCACAGTTTTATATCCAAGACGTAATAATTTAAAAACTAGTAATCACACACCTTCGACTGCCCACTCAAGACTTTTGACCTAGGCGAGCTTGTGCGAATAACTGGACTACGTCGATCAATATCATCAGCCAGTTCTTGATGATAAATTGGAGTTGCAAAAGACACTCGACGAGACTGCAAAAAAAAAAAAGAAAAGAAAAAAAAAAGATATATATTGTTACACATAAGGTTTTATAAAATTAGAAAATAAGGTTACATTACACTTGTTTGTTTTTAAGTCCATTGTCCTAAATATTAAAAGCATACTGTCAAATACCTTAGGAAGGGGGGAGGGTGTTTCCTCTTCACATGTTCTCTTTTGTCCCTTCTTCAGAATACTGGTAGACGGAGAAGCGGATGGTGACCAGACACGAGATCGGTTTCTGCTCGGACTCTGGCCAGGCTCTAGCTCTCCGCTGAGAGAGTCCAAAGGTTTAGGCTTGTGTGGAGAATTTAAGCAGGCTTCAGATGTACTACTCTGAGGTGGCACAGACGGCGACTCTTGTGCAACCACAGGAAGATCGCGGTTGTCGATCCGAGCGTCTTCATCCTTCTCGTCGAGTGCCACATCCTTGTCAAGCAATTCTTTGCCATTTGACTCTTCCGGCAACACAACCTTTTCTCCACTTGGCTCTGAAACAGCAAGGTCTTCACATTCCTTCACTGCTGGGTTAACTGCATCCTCCTGCTGGACATGGGAAGACTCTAGTTGCTCTTGGCATATAGGTGCATCTTCCACTGGGCGACCTTGACTTGGAGATGTGTCTTGAGGTGTTGAACTCTGGAGAGGTTCTTGACCTACTGAAGTGTTTTCCAATCTATCTTCTCCTTCTTTGTGCTTTTGACTACCTGCGAACTCAGAACTCCTTAACTGATTTGTCTCTGCCTCCGGGACCTCTAGATGCTCCTTGTTCGTTTTATCTGTCAGTTTGGACAATTCAAGCTGTGCTCCTTCCTGTGCTTCAGACAGCTGAGAAACAATTACACCAAGCTTTGCAATGGGACTCTCAGAAGGCAAAACCTCAGATGGGAGCTGTGCAGGCAAGGCTGAAAATGGCTGAACATCAAAATCTGAGACATCTGAAATTGCTGAGCTCTTGCTTTTCTCTGATACAGATGTTGAGCTTGACTGCTCAGGTTGAGAGTTCGGGGCATCAGAGACAAGTGGAACCTGCTCATTTTTCAGATCCTGCGATTCTTGGAAGTCACTGTCCTGTGAGAACACGTCACGGTTGTTTGAAAAGCAGTTGCAGGTTCTCGATCGTCTACGCCCACGTCCCCGTCCCCTGGTATGTGGGCATTTACGCAAAATGTCAGTCTTCTGGGTAAAATCTTCTGATCCAATATGTGAAGATGAATTCAATTCTTCACCCTCTGCCTTCTCACTAATGGTCTCCTTTTCATCCTTATCAGTTTTCAATTTTGTCTCAATTTTGGCATCTTCTGCGCCTTTTTCAGAGGTAATCTGTTCATGTGGTGCACCATCAGGGGAAGGGAGCTCTTCTTTGGTTTCACTGACTGAAATATTCAAACTGGTTTCATGATCTGCCTCATCCTGTGACATCTCTATTGAAACATCAACACCCTCCATATGTGGCACAATCTCAGTACCTTTCGGTTCTGTGGCAACTGGTAGCACCTCTGTGGATAATGGTTTCCGCAGTCTCTTTTTAGGCCTTGGTCCGTCTTCTCGGCTATCAGAGATTTCAGACTCTGTATTGTCGGTAGGAGCCAACAAACCTTTAGATCTTCGAGTTCTGTATCTACCAAGACCTTCAGAGCAATCTTGGCTTGCACTTAACTCCTCAGCATTTACAATTGATGTGGCATCTCTAGTAGAGTCTGTTTCTTCTTCTGCAGCTCTCCTCCTCATAGCTCTACCCTTAACCATTGTGAGTGTTTGAGAGTCTGTCTGACTCGAGTCGTCTTTGGTCTGTGAACCAGACAGCTCCAGTAATTGAAATTCAGACCTCCTTATTCTTCGTGTTCGGACAGTTTGCTGGCTATCAGCCTCAGAATCAGAAAGAGGTGTCAGTGAATGTTTCTTTTGCAAAGCGGATGCAACATTTTGAGGATCATTTTGAGAGTTTTCATCTGCCTCCTTGTCTGTTGACTCCTCAAGGTGCGCTCTAGTCTTCCTTGTAGGTCTACCTGGTGACAGACCTTCAGACTCATTGAGAGTTGGCAATCTCTCTTTGCTTTGGCTATCTGATTGAGTTACAGGGGAACTCTCGGAACAGGGCTCAGACTGGCTTAGCTCTTTATTACCAGGCATAACTATTGCCTGTGGAACTGCCTGTGAAGATTCTGCAGAGGAAATCTGTGAATTACTTTGACTAAGCTCTCCTTTAATTCTTTTGTTCAGCTTGTCTCCTTCAGCTTTAATGTCTTCAATAACCTTACTTCTTCTTCCAGTCAAAGTGCTACTTGTTGGAGACAGTAATGGCTTCTGTGTATTTGTCAATGCAGAGTCTGCAACTTGTTCTTGACATTTGTTTGACATCTCCCCTGGATCTTCCCCTGGGCGAACAGGTTTACTTCGCCGTCTGCCTGACCTTCTTGGTTCTTGACTAGCTTGAGAATCAGCAAGACTCTGTGAATCTTTTTCAGGAGAATCTTGTTCCTCTGCATTGGCTTTAGACACAGGACTGTTCTTAAAACCTGACGCTTCACCAGATAATTGGGTCTGGGTATCTGGGACCACATCATCCTCTTCCTCATCTGTACCTTCAACGTGATGACCTCCCGTTAACGTCTCATCTTTTGCCTCCACTTTTGCTTCCTCATTTTGACCAGATGGGTCAGTGCTGCTCCCCTTTGTAGTCTGAAGTTGTGAGCTATTTGGAGTAGACTCTGATGCCTTTGAAGAACCCAGCCTACTCGATTTGCGGGTGTGTGGACCAGCAAATGCAACACTTGCAGGACTTGGTGATTTCCCTTCAACATATTTCTCTAAGGTTATAAACGACTGACGCCTGCTATTGGGTTTAGGTGGTGTACCGGATATCATATCAGATGAACTTGAAACATTAGGGCTGGTCCCCTCGACTCCACTTTTCTCATGCCCACTCACATCAACTGAGATGTCACTCGATGGTGACCGATTCTTCTCTGAAGTTTGATCTTTATTTTGTGTAGCTTTCTCTGGTGTTTCTACGGCTGATCTGGTGCCTTCTTGGGTTACTTTAACATCTGTGATTGGTTCCTCACTTGCAGCAACCTCCTTGGGGGAGGAAACATTAGAACCAATTAATTCCCTTAACAGAAAGCATGCACACATTCTCCACAATCAAAACAGCAGTGTCAGAGTAAAAAAAAAAAAAGCTGTTTTACCTTTAGCTGAACATCAGCCTCTTCCTCTGGTTGATGCTTTTCATCTTTTGTCAATTTGTCCCTAAAAATAAATTTTTTTTTTTACAGTGGGTTATATACAGTGGGTACGGAAAGTATTCAGACCCCCTTAAAATTTTCACTCTGTTATATTGCAGCCATTTGCTAAAATCATTTAAGTTAATTTTTTTTCCCTTTTTTTCAATTCTGTCTCTAAGCTCTTCAGGCAGTTCCTTTGACCTCATGATTCTCATTTGCTCTGAAAACAAAGCCATAACTCCAAAACATACATGGACTCCTCTTGACTCGGAGTATACTGTGAATAGACTGTTGTGTCCAGGGATGCATCCAGATTATTATAGAGCGCAGGAATGTCAACCCTTATGCAAAACACAAAATCAAGGCAGAAAAAAAAACAAACAGAAAAATATCAGTCCTGATAATTTCTTATTTTCAAAATGCTTAGAGAATCTTAACGGTGACATCTAAACTTTAGATTTTAGACATCTGCCATGCCATGAAACAATTGTGAAAGAACTTAAACCAAACTTACCGTTTAGTCCTTTTGACCTCTTTCTGGTGCTCAGTTAGCACTCTCTCCTTTGTCTCAGGTGGAATAAAAACAAAATCCACTGATGCCTCCTCCTCAATAGCTTCCCGCCTCAATGGCTTGGGTGATCCAAAATCCAGCTTTACCTAGAGAGGCAATAGGTGATTTGTTGAGGGACCTTGATGCTAATTAAAGGGGTCATATGATGCAAGTTCAAATTTTCCTTTCTCTTTGGAGTGTTACAAACTGTTCGTGCATAGATAAGATCCCTAAAGTTGCAAAGACTAAAGACTCAAACCCAAAGAGATATTCTTTATAAAACTTAAGACTTGTCCACACCCTCCTAAAACACCTCGTTTAAACACGCCCCCACGTCTATGTCACTGTGGGGGAAGATTTGCATAACACCGCCCAAATGTTCACACAAAGGCGGCGTAACTTTTATTCTCGCTGTAGTATTGTTGTTGCCGCCGCCATGTTGTGAAGATGCTGTGTGATTCGTTGTGAAAGCGGAACTACTTTGTTTGGCCTTCCAAAAGAGGACGATATCGGCTTCGTCATGCCTAGAGATGATCTGTGCTGGTCGCTGAGGAAATACATCAAACTTCGCGCTGTGAATCGCCGGATCGGCTTTCACCGTGGACGAAGCGGAGTCCAGCCTGGGGTCGTCACATGTGGTTGCCACAAGACCGCCGGGCGTTCCTCACTCTAGGCCGCCGCCGCTCACTCTAGCCAACCGTGTGTGACGCTGTGTTTTAAATGATCCGTGGTTAAGTTGTATTTACAACACTGTTCCAGAACAGTTCAACCCAAATATTCAGATGTGTGCAGCGCATTTTACGGAGTACTGTTTCCTGAACCTGGGAGACTAGCCTACAATGCGTCTGTGCACAAAGGCTGTTTCTATAAAGTGGGTCAGTTCCAACTTTGCAAGGACAGTCTGGCGCTTCTGACTCACAGCCTGTAAGTAAGTTTTTTTTATATTTAAAGAATTTGCCACTGACGACTCAAATGCGAGTTTTAAGCAGAGTAGGGTAGCGCTTGTTGTTTGTCATTTCTCCGATCACAAATGCAGACATGGTTTTAGGTTTACGCAGCGCGATACGCAACAAACACGTAAAAAGACAGTACAAGTCATTATAATCAGTAATTATGTCCCCACTGGATCCAACAAATGCCTTGTCTGTAATGGGTTTTATTGGTTTTGTCTTGTCGTGCTGGGAGACGGCATCACAGTATGGTAAGGGGCGTAACATGTCAATCACAACGCACTGAATAGCTGGCCAATCAGCATACACCTCGCTTTTCAGACCAATGAGCTTTGTAAAAATCAACGCGTTTCAGAAAAGCATAGAGGAGCAACAATAATGTACATTATGTGGAAAATGTGTTTTTTTTTTACCTTAAACCGCATAAACACATTGTATTACACCAAATACACAACAATGTTCTTTTTAGCAGCATCATATGACCCCTTTAAGTGACACCATTGAAATTTTCAAGTTTAGATGCATTTTCACTTATTCACACTCACAGACACCGGCTTTGCAACAGTTAAAGACCCTCTTCCTTTAAGCTCTTCTGCCCTTGCCAGGAGGGAGTCCCTCTTTCTCACAGAGGTCATCTTTACCCCGCTGATCTGAGGGTCCAGCTGAGAACTCTCACTCTTATAAGAGAACAAAACATGCTTAGAATGTGCTTACGAATAAAATAAAACCCAATATGTTTGACTGAGCTAAATTTACTGTTTACAGCTCTGTTAACATAATACATCACTGCAGGGACAAACATTTGCACTGGATGAAACACTGAACTGTACCGTATACTGTCCACTGCAATCATCTGGTGCATCAACGGCTTCAAAACCAGGTAAAATCAATGGAGTCTTTTGCTTAGCCTGACTTAAAACAGACCTGAGGAAAAAAAAAAAAAAAAAAAAAAAAGAAATAAATATACAAAAAATAAAACTGTTGATATAATCATGCACTCACGTGTCGATCTGTCTTTCAGGTCATTTTTTGCATTTTTCTCAAAATCATCTTTTTTTCTTAGCCTGACTTAAAAAAAACCAGAAGAAAAAAAAAAAAAAAAAGAAGATAGAGATATATATATATATATATAAAACACAAATTTTAGGACAAGCATTCTTACAGATTTAAAGATCTGAAAATGCTAAATTTCACACAAAATACCCAACAATGGCATCAAAACATACTTAAGAGGATCAGGGTACGTCAAGGTGAGTGCAATTCCAAAAGTGGTATTCCAGAACTGCGTGACCACAGTGCGAATTTGCTTGCTCTTGTGCAGAAAAAGCACACAGAGCAAGGGTGACAACATGGCAAGCATCTCATCATCATGCAGAGTTGATTGTGTCTGAAGGCACCCAAGCAGGTCCGTGGCCAGTTTCTCCAACTACGAGAAAAACAGCAAATAAATAAATACAATAAAGCCAGACAAACCCTACATATAAAAAGACACATCAGACCTGTGGTTTCGATTTCAAAGCTGGGTAAATTCTTACCTTGGGTCCTAGTGTTGCACTGAGCTTTGATGGTTCATCATGACTTTTATAAATGAAAAACAGTGTTAGACAATGAAAAACAAAATAAAAATTCAAAGTATGAAAGATGAGAAAATGTCACACACCTGGAGACCAGTTCAAAAAGGCATGAGAGTGGTTTGGTGAGGGAGGACAGCACCTCTTGTATGAACGTGGGCAGTGTGATATTAGTGAAAAGAGTTGACAAGTTAGAGACCAGCGTCAAGCCAATTCCATTTAAAACCCCACCAGTGGACTCTACAGATGCTTCTGAGAAATCCACAGAAAGGAATGCATCTAGAGTCTGCACCAGGAGAACGTGGAAGGTCGAGAGATTCCCCAGGGCTTTGCTTCTCTTGCGCACCCAACTCAAGGGTGCATGAGGAGCTACGGATTAACATGAAAACATGGTGACACAGTGCCATTTCACAACTTAGCCCATTTGAATCGGAAGCAAAAGCCTTACATTTCATCTTCTGCTGAAACTGTGGGGTGTAAGGAGAGAAGTCCATACTCTCAATGATGACCAGCAAGATATTTGCTATTGCATCTAGCATAGGCATACTCTAAAAAATAAATAAATAAATTACATGTATACATAAAACATACATATAAACTAGGGCTGTCATCGTTAACGCATGCGATTAATTTTTCAATCCTTAAAGCGTTAAAATAATTTTACGCAATTAACGCAAAATTACAGAAGCACAATTTCTATTCTAACCCTTTAACCCAATTTTGCTACTCTGCTTGCATTTGATAATTTAAAGCCACTAAAATCCGGGAAAGTTTTCAGTCCAATGATCCAGTAAGCAAATGCATTCAAACAATCCGTCCAAAACAGCGCTAATATAAAAGGAAACCAGGTTGATTACAGAGATTGCAGAGAGAACAGAGACTTGCGTTGCGTTTTCATTGAATTATTAATTCCAGTGTTTCGCTTTTAAACACTAGCAATATTTCAATATTCAGACAATATTCTGTGATTGTCTCTAAAGAGCGCGAGCTCTCACACGTCAGGCGCTTGTGTGAAGTACAGACAGAATGGATTGTCAACATCCCACCGCTGTATGACCAGATGAGACGCAAACTACGGTTTCTCGACTGGATATCCAGTCTCGCTAGTAAAGTTTTGATGGATGAAGACTGCAATCAAGGTAAAAACGATTGCGATGGCGTACAGGAGTCGTACAGTAAGCACGCGTGAGTCCGTTATAATAATGCGTGTATGAGTGCTCTTGACGCACCGATCACACATTGTATTTATGAACAGGCACAGACATTTCCGTACATTCACGTTGTTTCCACACACATACACGATAATGTTTTGAATTGTCATGTTTATGTTGCGGTGTTTAGTTATACGGAATGGATCAGTGTACTGTACTAGATGTATGCAGTCAGCAGGCGGTTGGTTTAGGAGTTTTTTGTTTTTTTGTGTGTTCCTGGTCCAAATGCAACTTGGCTTCTCTAAAATGTAAAAAAAAAAAAAAAGCTCTTTGGTGTTAAACTGTACACATACTATAAAATTCAGATTTTTTTTTCTTTCATGTGTGCTTATATGGGCTCCTTATATCATTTGGTTCTTTGGTGTCCTTTTGGAGTTTCCAAGTGTCCTTTTTTGGAAAGTCATCTAAATTTACCTTGAAAAAAGCTTGCAAAAAATATAGATTTTTGAGAATCACCCTTCAATCTTTTGGTTTACTTTGCTGGATATGGCAAATGGAAAAAAACATTTGAAAAGATAAATGGTCTATGCTTAATTTCATGAAGTGTGCGATTAATCACAGAAAAAGGATGTGATTAATCAGATTAATTTTAATCGATTGACAGCCCTAATATAAACACACACACACAGAAGAGAAATTACAATAGACCCAACATCCCAATTAGGTGCACAACTGAATAAATCTTCCATACTTTCAGAGCCTCACTGTCAAGAGAGGAACAGATCTTGGCACACAGCTCTTCACAGCATATGTTCTCCTCCGCTGTGGCTACCAAAGATGAGCAGCGAGCAAACGCCTTGTAAAGCCTGGACCAGGTACCGATCATGGCCTTCTGAGTGGTCTATTAAAAAAAGTAAATGTCAAGTAAGGACATATGAAATATTTGAATAATACGGTAGAAAGCATCTGCACGAAAGCTAAAATTATCTCTTACTTGGGGCAGGGGCAAACCAGGCAGTAGATGAACAACTGGGAACATCAAGGCACTGTAAATGGCACTGAAATTATGCTCCAGAGCATCTCCTTGATTCACTTCATTGGTCTATGTTGGTGAAACACAAGGTTTGACCAGCACTGAAATGCACAATCATTCTACAGCAGAGAGCATTGATGATCCGAATTTAGTACCTGAGTGATGGTATCCGTCAGAGGGTTTACCACCATACTCCACATCCTCCAGAGCTGTTTCTTGATCTTAACAGCCTCCACACTCCCACTAATCGCTCCTAAAACAGCCTCTCCAAATGCCAGGGGAGATGTAGGCCCACAAAACCCACAACTCACAAGGGTCTCCAGGATTGAAAAAAACCTGCCATATGCAAGAAAATGTTGCCACAGTTAAGCAATCAAACTGTTTCAATGGAAATAGAAATATGAGAGGTATTTCTTTTTTTTAAGTTTTATTGAAAAAAATCTCTAGAACAAAAGTTTTGGTTTCGATATTAGGTATTAAAAGACTTATTTTAATGGATGTATGCTTACCTCTCATCTTCAAGAAAGGATGAGAGCTGGTTACTCTGGTAGAATAGCAGTATTAGAAAAAGTGCAGGTGTACCCTGAAAAAGATGTGGAGAATCTTTTTTACACATTCATGATATATAGATACGCATTAATTCAAAGGGTGAAAATTGTATCAAAATATTGATAACTTTAGCAAGGCTTTACAAATAAGGTGTAAAAAAGACACTTACATTTAACACATCCATGTTTGCCACTTGATAAGCAGCAGAACCAAGCACCTTCTGAGGTATTCCATTAACAGTGACTTCCAGCAAAAGCTGCAGCAAATAATGAAGTAATGAAAATCTGTTCAAACAGCAGGGTCAAACCAACAACCTACATAACCTTTGGATACACTAAAAAAAAACTGAACGGCAAAGCTTTTGACGTCTCATGATTTTTATGATTAAAAAAAATGCAGTAAAACAGTAATAATGAAACCTTTATAATTTAAAACAATTGGTTTTATTTAAATATATATTTTAAAATGTAATTAAATCCTTGTGATGGCAAAGCTGAATTTTCAGCAGCCATTCCTCCAGTCTTTGGTCTTACACAATCTTTCAGAAATCATTCCAATATGCTGTTTTTGTGGAAATTGTGACTTATTTCAGGATTTGATGAATGGGAAGTTCTTATCTTATTGAATCCAAACTTTTAAAAGGTAGTATGTGTTCAGCATGCCAGACCGCAGCTGGGTTGGGTAACACTTTCAGCATTCAAGCCATTTAGCAGGTCATTTTCACTAGGGTTGGGTATCGTTAGAAATTTTCCGGTTTCGATTACAGTTTTGACTAACGATTCCGATTCCATTTAAATGAACTATTATTATTTTTTCACTATTTTACCTTTATTGAATGTAGTGTTGCTGGAAGGTAGTAAGTAATGTTGAGTAATGCATGTGCTTCAAAGTTGATGTTTTTTACACTATCAATAACCTTTTGCTTTTCAAGCAGGAATAAGCTGGTTGGCCAAATAGTCCATTGAGGGCTAAGACACTTGTTCATTTCCCTAAATTAATGAAATATTATACTTATAACCATGTATACACACTGCATAAAGCCCCTATTTTACAAATGATAATGCAGTCAGGAGATGGTGTGATGCAATGAGTGGTTTTCACATTTTTAAACATTTAAAATGCATGAAAATATTTTCTATCACTTTGTTTATCACTCTTGAAATGACCTGTACACTAAATAATCTAACCCTCATACTTACATAATAGCAGTCTATTTATTTAGTGGTCCAAGTTGAAGTCGTCTGTATATTATATGTATATTAATGACAATATGAGACAAATATAATGTAATTTAGTGGCGGCCGGAGCTGCGTGCTGCCGGTACATGTACAGTCAGACAAAACAACGTGCACATTTATCAAAGACGCCAGTGTGCGTACAGTCGTGGAAAACGATGTGTTCGGCAGTTAAAGACGCGGCGCATCTGTGGAGTGCGCGTCATGGGAAACAATGTGCTCAGTAATTAAAGAGGCAGGGCGGCGTTCTGAACCATGATTTTCACCATGATCTTACCAGGGCACGTTCAGCAGGCAGACCATCTGAGGACAGGATGGACTGCAAAGCCTGTAGAAGCAGCGTGAGAACCTCTGACCCCTGTCGTTCCTTCTTATTACCTGTTAACAAATTACTATGAGCCAGTATCCACAACAAAGTATCTATGCAAATTATCTTTGACTCTCTAAGAGAATGTAAATGTTAACATACAAGCTTCTATTGTTGTGCTGACAGAACAGATCAGGGTGCTCCAAATGAGATTAAGCAGCGCTTCTGTGGAAAATAAATACTCATATCAGGTGATGGACATGGACAGCATCGCTTTCATTTCCTGATGAACTCAATAATAATAGACCTTTGTCTCAAAGACAAAATCTAAGTTAAAATCATGAACCTAGGCTACATTTTGCAGATTATGTTGAATACCTGGAGCGTGCTTTCCCACAGTAATGAAGCCTTCTTTGATGGCTGATATGAGGGTGGAGGCATGTCTACTGAAGGAGGAAGGGCTGGTAAACAGCGGGTGCGTCAGGGGCTCTAAAAACAAACAAATGGTACACTGACACTGCTAGCATATAGTAATTACAATAACAAGGTTCATTATACCAGGCTGTATTAACAGGGCTCATTTTTACCAATAAATTTCCATGGCTTTTTGAGGCAAACATTTATGATGGATACTTACTGATTTTGATGTTTTTCAATGTAAAAACCACACAAACATCATAAGCGGACCTCAGACAACAGTATAAAATAATTTTTAAAAAGCCAGTTCATGACCCCTTTAATGTAATCGGAGCCTTTTGAGGTTTAATCTTCACATTAAGCCATATCACAATTATTGTCTTTCCGTCCCCAAATTTAAGACCTCTTGAAATCAAAATAAAGACTTTCTTGTACCATTTAAGACGTTTTATGGCCTTAAATTTGATACAACTAAATTTAAGACTATTTAAGACTTAAGGACCCGTGGAAGCCCTGTGTTATAATCACAAAAGCTGTCTACACACATTTTTGCCAGATCAAATGTGAGCAGATCTAAATGTAATTCTGCAGTTGAATGGATCACATGACCATTAAGTATTGTAATTTTTAAAAAATTATCAATTAAATATTTTCCATGTCAATTTCCAATCAAATTTCCATAACTTTTCAAAATATTCTGGGTTTATTTTTCCAGGCCTGGTAATTGTCAGACTTTTTCAGGTTTTTCCATGAGTGTGCAAACCCTGTATTAATATATGAACAAATCTAGATTACTAATCAAATGACATTCACATTAACTTTGTACAAACTGTCAAGTTGGGTCCACTTTAACACAAAAGCATCACTGATAGAAAACAACTCTAAAAGCTCAGACAATACTAACGGGGCCTGCTCCAGCAACCTGATGTTCACCACAAAATCAAATCTTTTTTCCGGAGAACTTCCAGCATGAAGAACACTGCAAGATGGCACTACCAAGAAAGTGAAAATTACGGGAAATTTCAACAAACCTTATTATGACATTAAGTGATTCATGTTCAATGAGGATGGACTGAACCTCTCTGGTCTGCATGGCCTCTAGACTCTTAAAGCATTCCATTTGCATGGACCGAAAGTCCCTCAGAGAACACGCGATCATGCAGGTCACATGCACACTTCACAAGATCTCATAACTGGATTCGACTAAGTTTACAAGGTTTGTGAAATAACTTTCATTAGCCATTCAAAGATTTGTTTAAATTATGTAAATGCGTATTTGCTGAATGCTAACGGCAAACGAGAAAGTATTATAATGTTTGCCTTTCTATTACTAATAATATAAAAGCAATCATTATAATACTTTGTATACATTTCAATTCCTTTGTTTAACAGTTCTATTGGATTATTAGACAGACTTCTATTCATATTAGACAGAACTGTTAATGACGACGGCGAACAAGAGGGAGTATGTCCGTCAAAATAAAAGTCCTGCCTCGAATACATTGGCCAAACAGAAAAAACTTATCGGCCGATGCCGATATTTGAAAAAAAAGTCAAATATCGGCATTGGCGATATATCGGTCGACCACTACTGCTGTCCCTTTAAAGGGGTCAAATGATGTGATTTCAATTTTTCCTTTCTCTTTGGAGTGTTACAAGCTCTTGGTGCATACGGGGGCCTGCTCCAGCAACCTGATGTTCACCACAAAATCAAATCTTTTTTCCGGAGCACTTCCAGCATGAAGAACACTGCAAGATGGCACTACCAAGAAAGTGAAAAGTACGGGAAATTTCAACAAACCTTATTATGACATTAAGTGATTCATGTTCAATGAGGATGGACTGAACCTCTCTGGTCTGCATGGCCTCTAGACTCTTCAGAATCTCTGGAGCCTGAAATGTAAAAAGCATCATCTTAGCCACAAAAAAAAAAAAAAGGAAAAGGGGGGGGAAAGGAAAAAAAAAAAAGGGGTTATTTTCAAGCAAACCATTCATGGTAAACAAACCTTTTTGGATGCCACCTCTGGCGGGAAATTCTGTTTTGAAATCACCCATAACGCTCGAGTGCACGTAAACTTTTCTTTTGATTTTACCACAACATTACACAGGGTTTATTTCAAGCAGACCATGCATGGTAAACAAACCTTTTTGGATGCCACCTCTGGCGGGAAATTCTGCTTTGAAATCACCCATAATGCTCGAGTGCACGTAAACTTCTCCTTTGATTTTACCACAACATTACAGAGCGTAGACAGTATATCTTCTGAAATATTTGCTGCAGCAAAGAAAGATAAAGAGATTATGGACGCTACTTACTATTGAATGTAGGGGTGGGCGATATGACCAAAATCTTATTTCACTCTATGAGAAATTTTATTTCACAATAACAATATATATCTCGATATAGCCATTTTCTTTTTTTTTTATATATAAAAAAAAGCAAATTACAAACAGTAGAACAAATCAATATAAAATAAACTTAATTTATTCAGCTACAGTAGGTTTATTTAACGTAGTAAGAAATATTACAGAAATTGCATAAAGTGTATAAATAAAACACTGCATTGTCTTCACTGTATCAATTAAACAAACTGATTCTTATTAAAGATCCAAAAGTGATTCAGGCAAGTGCAGTGAGTGGTTAAAATTAATAAGACAGCAGCAGGTAAAACTGCTGTCTAGTGGTCGACCGACATTGGGTTTTTGACAGCCGATGCACATATCTTGGAAAGCAGGGTGGCCGATATAAATTTATTTTAATTAATATTTAAGAAATTTGAAATAATTTGAAAATGTATTAAAAAATAAATTTGTAAAATAAACATACTTATACTTTAGATGACAAAATATGTTCCACAAATAAATATTTTATACAAATATAATTAAAAAGAAAGTAAACTGTAACCAACAGAGCACTCAGTGTTCTGGGAAGTTTGTGAACATTGGCAATCATATTTTTTCAAATAAAGCCACAACTTCGATACCTGGTATGACTGAAACAATGTGTGAGTGGAAGACACAGAATCCCAAAGCCTGCAATGCAGCCTGACACAGCTCCTCGTTCTCACTGGAGATATGAACCTGAAAGGAAAAACATAATTCATCTGCAGGGCTGACGACACAGCAAAGACATAGCTTTCTGGATGAATAGCTTCTGCCTATTTTTACTTACTACAAAAACAACAACACAAATATAAGAGTCAAATGTTACATTCAAAACGTTCCAGTGAATGAGTCTGGTTATCCATAGAGGAGACCAACTTACCAAAAGGACTTTACTTAGACGTGCAAAATGTTTTACAACTACAGACAGAAACTGACGCCCCTCCTCTCCATTCAGGCGGCTAAGAGAAAGAAAAAGAACAGCAAAAGTCTCACTATTAATCTATAAATACTTTTAAAAGTTACAGCTCAATTGCATGCCCACTAGACACGCAAGAACCAATGAGGTTTGTTCTAATGCATTGAGCAAGTACATCTGAGCTTCCGTTTACCATAATCAATACAATACATGTGCAATGATCAATACTTCCAATACGAAACAACATGACAAAACTGTATCACTACAACACTAAATAAGCTTTTATCATGGAGACATCCATATATTTGACTAAAACCCTTCTACACAGACAGACACCAGAACCGTAGGTTAACACTTACTTTGCGATGGTGATGTAGGCATCTGTCTTCTCTGACAGCCCGGCTGCTTCATCTTCCAGACACTCCAGAAGAGGAAGGAGGCTGGCACTAGATAGAGGCACTGCTGCCATCATCCTCACAACCTGAAAGACAGGAAAGCACATTAAAGTCATGCATACAGCATTGACTACAAGGAAGAACGAATATAATGCAATAAAATGCGAAAACTCTTTTTTTTTTTTTTCTGGTTCAGTTGTTTAATTGGAACAGGGCTTTAAATGGCTTTGAAACTCTTCTGTCCCTTGGACCTGTGGGACCCTAGAATGAGTCCCACCTTTCACCCCCTTAAACACAGAGTTGTGCATCATATATTTAATAGTCTGCAAATAGTCGATTATGAAATACTATGCATAAGTGTGAATGTGTGAAAAGTGAATATTTAATATATTTAATGTTATTTTAGTAGTGAGCCGGAGTCAATGCATGCATGCAGGACATTGTGTTCTCTCGATGCACACGAACAAACGGCAATAATGTCTTCAAATTAAGAACAAGTGATGCAAGTTCAGTCGTCTGTCACCTTACTGACATATATGGGGAGAATAAAACCTCACACGCATCTTACATGTGTTGTTTAGCTAACTTGCACGAGAGGCTAATAACAATACGCCATCCATTATTACCAAAACTCTCTGCCAAATATCACAATATATTTGCTTTTAAATACTAGTTTTTTTACTGGTGGGTGTGCCCAGATAGGTTGAGCTGTCCGAGATGCAAAAACTACACCATATTGTCGTATGTTTCTTAAAGCTATTGTGTTAATCATGTGCGTTGAGCATACAATTTGTGGGCACCTCGCGTGCAGCAAACACAGATCAAAATGTGCCGTTTATTGAAACCTTTAAACCGTAGTGTACGCGTTTTCTGTACTCAATCTAATCCAACAGGAACTTTCCCTACAAAGACTGCATATAGGTTGAGCTGTCCGAGATGCAAAAACTACACCATATTGTCGTTTGTTTCTTAAAGCTATTGTGTTAATCATGTGCGTTGAGCATACAATTTGTGGGCACCTCGCGTGCAGCAAACACAGATCAAAATGTGCCGTTTATTGAAACCTTTAAACCGTAGTGTACGCGTTTGCTGTACTCAATCTAATCCAACAGGAACTTTCCCTACAAAGACTGCAGAGTTAGCGAGCTAGTTAACTTACCCTCATCATGTTACCTACCCAACCCCCTGAACACATTCATCAACACAACTCAAGATGTCTCACCTCGCGCCTGAGGACACGCTATCGACCACTGAAGGCGATCTCATCGACACACGAGCGTTATCAGAGGAATCGGGAGAGTTTATACGGCAATGTTTGTAAATGATCAAGGCTAGGCTGCGTCTGTCCACTCCTCACTTCTCACTTCTCACTCCTCACTTCTCTCTCCCCGCGAAAATGCTGGCGCCAAACATGACGCGCGTTGAAAACGTCACCTTCAACCCCACGTCAACTCCTCCTTCTCATAAATTATGTATTGCATTAATTAAGACGCTTTTCCAAATCTTGAATACAAATTTCAGCAAATTATTAGGTGGCATTTTACTGTAAGGTCTCATTTGTTAAATACAATAGTTAACATGAACTAGGAATGAACAACATTTCTGCAGAGTTGATTAATATTAGTTCATATTAACTTCAACATTTAATAAAAGTTTTAAAATCAAAGTTATATCTGTTAACATTTGTTAATGACCTAACGTACAGACAATAAACAATTGCATTTTTAGTAACTAATATTTACAAATATATCCAAAGAATAAATAGTGAAAAAAAGAGGCTTTTACTTTTTAGCTTTGCAGTCTGTAAAGAATGTACATTTAAGGGCCTATGTCTTCATTATAGCAGTTCTCAACTAAGGCCTAGGGGGCCACAGAGCCTTAATAATTAAAATGCTAAATCTTCTCAAAATGCATAACTGAAAAATGCATCACATTTCTTACTCTGAATTATTTGGCATGCACTGTTATCATTTCTTTGATTCAGACTCATTTGTATTTTTTCACTGCAGCAGTCAAAAACTATTAACAAATTCTGAATTTTCTGATAGTGTTAATGTCATGTTATGTTTCAGTTGGACAGAGTTCTGAGTTATGAAGAATGTACACACAGTAATAACTTATTTTAGGATTAAGTATACTTCTGTTTCTTTAACACTTTTACATCCCGGACGTTCAGCGTTATTCAAACAGACTTCACCTTATTTCTTTTAGTAGTATGATGGTTTCATTAAAACACTGTAATACATTAAATCCACTGTTGGACATTATTAATAGACAAGTTGAATAAATTAGTGAGAGTGTGACAACTTTGTTTTATGAGAGTTTATTTTTTAAATGTTCACAGGCCTATACACTTACATTTGTGATTATTAGTAGCTTTAATATTGCGCCCTTGGTTAAAGAAAATATATAAAAAAATGACAACAGTTGTGGGTTTGGGTGTATAAAAGAAGTGGGTTTGGTGCATTAAACATTGATCAAGAGAAGGCATCAGTGTGATTGTCAAAGAGCTGAGAGGAGTTCACAGCGATGTACTGCAGCTGAAAACCTCCACCCGTCACAGAGGAATCAGAAAGAAACTTCAGAGTCATGACGTTTCCTGTGCAAGAGATAATGTAGAAACGTAGAAAGAGAGAGAGAGCGAGAGAGGAAGAGAGGGAGATATTCTACAATTATTTTTAAGAAATATATTCTAACTAATGTCTTTTCCAAGAAAAACTAACTTTTGAAATTAAAATGACTGCACCAACATACCTGTACTTATGAAGTCCTCTGGAAGTTCATCCCCACAGTATCTATCCAGAACAGACACAGATTTATTTGATTATTTTTGAAGCAAATTTAAATAATGTCAGAACTGTAAACTCTCAGCAGCAATAAAAAATGGAACATAAAGGTCAATGGTGAATAAACCAAAATGTCTGTTATTTACCTTCCAACAAAGCCTGAAACATCATCATAGCTGTCATAGATCTCCAGAAAATCACTGAGACAAGCTGTGTCCTCCTCAAGGTCAAAGTCTAGGAAGTGCAGGCGGATTCGTTGGCCGTAGCGCACACGAATGTGCCAGTAGCAAATCTGCTCGTCCTGGTAGTCCTCTGGATAACCAGGAGAATCTAAAACCTTCTCCTGATCTGTGTGCACTCCTCCACACTCCTTTGCTGTAAAGACAGTACAAAACGTGTACAAATTAATACACGGGGGGGAAAAAATCAATAAATTAAAAATCAATTGGATAAAGTTGTCAGTCCTACTACACCATACAGTCTGATTAGTTTGAATCATGTTTCATCTCTTCATCTCTCCATGTGTATCAGAAGTATAAAAGTGAGTCAAAGGAATATGAGCACTATGCCTATGCAGACAATGACAAATCCAAACTCTGTCTGTGGTTTGAGCGGGTGCTCAGTGACACATACATCTGGTCAGTGGTGTGCGGTGTTGTTCGGAAATGAGGAGGCAACGTATTTTTTTACGTAAAGTCATGTCCCAGTCACATTTTCTTGGTTAAATAAACATTACTTACACTATCAGAAAAAATATATATATTTTATAGTTAACAACAATGCAATCAATATTCTATTTATTAAAGCCATGAATTAATCTCATCAAGTTAGTGTTTTTAAGCATTTTAAATTTATTAAAATAATAACTCACAGCAGTATCATTTAAACAATATATTTTATTTGTGAATTTATGTTCAGCTATTCTTTTTATTCCTAACTTTTAACTATTTTTGAATTTTTCAGATCATCAGTCATCAAATTTCACCAAGCTGATTTCTCACTAAAAACTCCCACAGATCCTGTTTTCATGGCATTTTAAGTCTTATTTTGACGTAACAAAGTGGTTATATCTAAGTGTGTGAGTTGTTTACTTACTTTTTTAATTAGTCTTCCCATTAAAGCCATTATATTGTTAATTCAGACTGATTTGTGAAAGCGGAATGCGCACGAACACAAGAGCAAATTTATTTTTATTTTATTTTATCGCATGAACCAATCACAGCCAAACATAACCAGTCATTTCCAATCATATTGTTATGGAGGCATTGTCTCCTCTCACGTGAGTTTCCCTCATTCATTCTCAATTACCCCCCAGTAAAGTCACGGTCACGACACGCTATGGGGTCTCTGTTAATAGGCAATGGGCTCAGGGGAGGCAAGCCTCCACTGTAACTTTACCTGCGGGTGTCGCCGTTGGACAATTTTACTTTAGAAAACGAGTGATTTATACACTTTTTAATGTTATACTTTGTAATAGGGGCATTGTTTTATATTTGTACTACAAATTTTTTTTTTCTCATCCAGTATTTTGAGGAGACAATGCTTCCCTTGCCTACTCGGCGGAAACGCTCCTGCATCTGGTGCCCTGCCCTGAATGAGGTAGTGACTGGATAAAATATAGAAAACTAAATTTAGACTATAAAATATTATTATAATTCTTCTTCTTCTTATTATTATTTTTTTTTTAAAGACACCCCACACTCTTTGCATTGTATTGCACATCCATCTAGTTGTTTTAAGCAAGGCTTTGTAAAACTAATATTCAAAATAATTTTTGTGTAAACTTTGTGTTGATCTATTAACAGCTTCATCAGATGAGATGACAGTCAGGTCGTAATGACTGCTTATATGAGATTATGAGCGTACTTTGTATGCCACATTTCTCAATCTGAAAGTATGTTTTCCCTATTTATTCTTTGACTTCTCTTTGAGATCACTGTTGACTCAAGTTCTCCATTGGGAGAATTTCTTTCACTAGCTCAGGGGGAAAGAGTCAGTCACAAACTCAGCTGGGTCTCTGGTAATGCATTACTGCACCTCGTAAAACTTTCACGGGGCTTCGTTTAGATTATTCACGGTGTGAAGTATTTTTCATTAGACTCTTCCATATTCATACAAGAGAAAACAGCCAGAGAAAACAAACAGGCATTTTCCAAGAAATGTATTATGTGTTTGTTCTCAGCTTGTTTGTTTTGACCACTCCTTGCTAAGACATTTGTCCTACATGTAACGTATATGAGTAATGTCCTGCGCTGAGGTTGACTGTCCTCTGTTTCTGTGCATCAGTCATTGTGTGTTATAAAAGAGCCATCACTTTTTTCTCCAACATTTAGTCACGGTTGTCTTTGTCCAGACCACAAGTTATCCCACCCTTATAGTCTAGAGTCCACTGAGTCCCTGAATTATGATATAAAGTAATTGTCTTTAACCTATGGAGATTTATACTTTTCTACAATGCTAATTCCTTTGTTTCAGTCAACTCACTCTGGAGAGCTTTCAAAGAAAATTTGACAAAACTATGATTTGTGTAACTAATTTTTCCAAATCACTCAACGGATGATTAAAATCCACCCAGAATTGCCTAACTGCCATTTGTCAAACTCACCCTCAGGGTTGTAGCAGTAGACATCCCACTTCTCACTTTTGTTGAGCCTGTATCCGTAATCAATGATTCCAACCTTTCCGAAACCACAGTTGGCGCCAGCTTTAACAATCGGATAGCCCACACGTCCTTTGTCAAACCATCCAGCTGCACAAACGTGGAACCCTTTGGGAAAATGACAATTGCTGTAATATTGTGGAATATCAGTTATTGTGAAGCATCTTTCTGTCAAAAACATTTGGCATAAATGTTAATTGATCTAAAATGCAATTAATTAGAAATTAATTGAAAATTATAATTAATAAAATAGAATAATTTATGAAATACTATTTTAACCTAATGATCAATAATGTTTCAAAATAATACATTATAATTATAAAAATATAAGTATAAAAAATATAACTTATGTTGGTTAATTAATAATAAAAAGTATTTTTTTTCTCAGTGTTCATATTATTATATCTGCAGTATTTCACAAACAGGTTCTGTTCTGTTTAGACTGAATATAAAATATTCTCCATGAAAAAAAAACTAATAATTGAAGGAAATCTGTCTTTTTTAAGGGGATAATGAATAAAGAGTTCTTGTGCTCTGAGGAGCCACGGGCACCATTTGAAGGCTGCAAACAGAGATGATAAAAAGAAAGCCAAGCAGACCTCCAACATAGTGTGCCACAAGCCTGAACTAACCACAAAATGTCGTCATTACACATCAGACCTCATGTCTGGAACAAATTTACTCTTACTACAAAAAAAAGTAACTTTACAAGAATACAGGTGTTACTGCTCAAGCAACACATGACAATGACTTTTACAGTTCAAACACAACACTGGTTGGCACTGGGGATGCTTTATAACTTTGTTTATATGATGTGTGCAAATATTTTATATAACTGTGAGAATGTTGGTTATCATTCTGCTTGCTGATGGATTCAGATGTGGTTTAAAATTGTGAGTGTTTACTGTTATAATAAAAGGCTATTCGGTATGATCCAAGTTATATGACTTGT